AAAAAAAAAAAAAAAAAAAAAAAAAACTATCCAAGCTGTTCTAAATAACTTTAGGTCCATACATATATAGCTTTGAAAATCTCTCAATCTCCATCCCTCCCTCTCTAGCCTATGCTTCAAGGGCATAAGCTTCTATTAGTAACAACCTAGTTGACTGCATTAGTAGGGTGATGTAACAAGTCAACAAGTAATATGTGCTTATGTATTAGAATCGTGAAGCCTTAAATATTATGACTTATGAGCAGCACAGGGATGCTTCAAAAGCATAATATTTATTTATAATGTTGTAAAAGAGGCTTCCATTGAATAATCATATAGAATAAATAATTGCTCTCTCTATCTGGAACAATACAGTAATATGTATGTCAACAGTTGTTTTAGCAAGACACAGAAAACAACAACTGCTCTAAGAACTGAAAAGATAAATAACAAAAGGAGACACTAATGCAAATTTACAGACAACAGGAGGACACCATCCCTCTCTACATGGGTGGTTGAGGTCAAAATTTCTGCTTTCCCAAGATTCCACTTATAATCTGCAATAAAAATAGATCAATTTGGTTAAAGACTGTCTGTGGACTTACAACTCTTCTGGTTGACCCTCAAATTTTTCTTCCTCATCCTTTTGGCTTCCAGAGTCGCTGACATTTTTCTCACTAAATTTTAGATTTAGCGGCCGGCCCATCAATTCCTGTCAAATAAAAGTAGTGCACCATTTCAAATGTAGGAATTTGACTTAATATCATAGTCAGATGTAATGTTAATGACACATAAATATTTGGATTTGTATTGAATGTCAAGAAAGAGAAGTTTTTGTCGCTAACAGTATACAGTCAAATTATTCATTGTTTTTTTTTAATAAAAAATGTCACATTGTATCTAGTTATTTCAAATGTCTCTTTCAGCCAATGTAAACGTATTTTGAGATATTTATCCATTTACTTAATTCTCGCATCCAAATGCACTGTAATTTATTTCTGCTTGGTCTAAAAAGCTTTTCTAGTAACAGAATGCAAGTAATTATATGTGAATAATCTAACTAACGCCCAAGACAATGCTGGACTACATATTCATATATTGCACATATGTAGTTCTTTAATAGCTCTCTCTCTCTCTCTCTCTCTCTCTCTCTCTCTCTCTCAACTGATTATACACAAATGATTAGAATCTTGTGCTTTCATTCATGACTGGAACACTTCTGGAAACATATATGGACTATGGAAAGAAAATCTTACATAGATGGTGGCAATTATGAAACAACTTATATTATTCCTGTTAAGATTTCAAATAGACAAATCAACAGCCCACTACTTTACATTCTTCAACACACTTCTTTGAGTGGGACCACAATATAGTAGGCCACATGTGCAGCCAATTCCACATCAGTTTGTGATCTTAAGGTAGTTTGTTAGTCAGGCTCAGTAAATCGAGCTGAGCACGTGCTCATCCAGCAAACTTAGTAGAAACACAATAACCTGGGCCCAGTCAATCAATCTGCTCTGAAACCATGTTAACATTTCAGAGAGACTGACCACTGGCCTGCTACTAATTGGTCCAACACCAATACTGTCCCCAACCTACATAGACAACATGTGTGGGGTTTTTATCACAAAAGGTCTCAATGTGATTAGTAGTGAAACCATCACTTATTTATGGTATTTCATTTTGTCAAGTTTCCGATGTGGGATTTTACATTCTTCAACAATTTCATACTTAACCCCTCTTTTTGAACCAAGAGTGAAATTATTGCATGCACATAAAATAAAGTTTTCTCTAGAATAACTGCATATACCCACAGAGTCCTATAGACGTATGTGTGCAATTAAAAAAGTCCAGGTAACAGTTTTCTGTTGAAAGGTATAAAGATACTAAACTAATTTATATCACTGTAGGAAGCAAAATAACCACATCCATTTGAACTGATACCTTCCAAGCTTGAGCAGAGTAATAGCAGAAAATAATGAGAAAGATTGACAAAGTTGATAAATTTTTCTTACCTTCCCATTCAAAGAAGAAATTGCAGACTCTGCTTCCTCCTTTGAAGCAAAAGAAAGAAATCCATATCCACCAGATTTCCCGGAGGGGCCACTAAAGACAACCCTGGCTGAGACAGGAACTTTAAAATTTTCTGAGACAAAATCTCTGAGATGGCTTGATCTTATTTTCCATCCCAAATTAGAGACGTAAAGCTTATAGCGCGTCTCCACAATTTGGGGGTTGGGAGGAGGTGGAGAAGGTTTCTTAAATTGCTTTGCAAACTCTACTCTGATAGTCCTATCCAATACCTCCTGAAACAAATAACTCTGAGGTGAAAAAATATGTTTCCAGATATAGGAAATTCCTTTTACTAAGAAATAGAATTCTTTTGAGTCAATACAAGTACATTCCTTGTGGACAACAAGATATTAACCAAATACTAAACACCCAATGCAAAAAAGATCTAGCTGACATACAACATAAACGAAAATATCTAGATAAGAATAGCTTTCCAATCCGCAAAAATTGCAGAAAAAGGGAATTCCTGGAAGTCCAAAGAAACCAAAGCCCAAAGTGATGTAACCTAACTTTGTCCCATTAAACACCCGCCCCCTCCCCTCTAAGATCCTTTTGATTCTTTCTAACCAAACAACCCAAAATACAGCCAACACCCCGAATTCCATACCACCTTTGCCTTCTTTCCTCCTCAGCAGTGCAACCAAAAGAAAGCTGAAGATTTACCCAATATAGTCCAGCCTCCGTAAAATAGGACAACTGGTAATTAATTGTTTCAATCTGAATTATAATTTCTCTCTCTATAGAACCAGATATTTGCAAATATCCTATAAAGATACTTTGATAGAAACCGAACCATTAGAAAACTCATTTAGGATTCAATGAAAGGAAACTACAACCAAAACAAAAAAGAACAAACAAATTCCTAAGAAACAAAAAATTTCATTGATTTGGCCAATTCAATTGAAGTAGATAAACTTGTATCTATTCCACGCGACTTCAATCTCCTAAAGTTCCTTCCCTTTTGCTATTGAACCCAAAACTACAAGTAACTTTGGAACCCCATAATTCAAATTATTATTGCTAAACCTACAAACACAATAGAATACAGATAACAAGTTGATTTAAAGAAAAAGAGGAAAATATTTTTCCTCTAGTAGTAGAATAAACAGTCACAAATCAAAATGAACTGCCTACAAACAATGATGTACCTATTCTAAATATCAAATTGTAATGCTATTTTTCTCTGAGTATCAATCAAACTTTCATCAGAGCTAAAATGTTCCAATCATAAAATGCAGAACACCCAAATACCAAAATAACTTACATGAGAGTGAAACTTTTCAATGACAGCCTGAGCTTCTTCCCCAGAAGCCATTGTCACAAAGGCAAAGCCTCTGCTCTTTCCATTTGGTTGCTTTATAATCTGAAAATCCAACATACATAACCAAAATTTCAATTACAAATCCACATAAAGACAGAAACAAGATGACCAATTTAAGGAGAACCACAAAAGAATAAGAACCTCAACATCTGTAACAGTCCCACATTCGCCAAAGAGGTTCTTGATATCCACCACAGTGAGAGACCAAGGCAAATTCACAACGTAGAGCTTTCTCTTCAGGTTTGGCGTTTGGGTTTCCCCTGCTTCTTCTTCTACTGCTTCATCTCCTACTGCTTCTTCTTCAGCTGTAACCTCCTTTACCGCAGAGCAGATCAGCTCAAAGAAGGGTTTTCTTGTTGTGGGGTTGTTGAGGATGCATGGGGGAGAAGAATACAGAAAATTGCGGGAAATAGGAGGGATAGAATTGGAAATATGAAGCTTCAGGGAGGTGGATGGTTTGGGGGATGCGAAGAATTTAGAGGAATGAGAAGAAAAAGAAGAGGAGTAGAGGGAGGAGACAGACAGTGCAGCTTCAAATGCCGCCATTGTTTTGAATATTCTGTGCAGAGAGGAGAAACTGGATAATGGGTGGTCCGGGTGGACAGTGGATAGTGCATTTTATCTTGCAGGGATAATATAGTCCTTTTCAAAATTTTCTTTAACATTTGGGAGTGTATTCAATTTAGATTTTAAAAGAACTTAAAAGAAGTTTAAAAGTTCATGTGTATTCAATCACGATTTTATAGAAGTCTATACAATTCTTGATGTATTCAATTCTGACTTTTTAAACTCCATTCAAATTTGGATGTATTCAATCATGACTTTAAAAGACTTCATAAAAATTGGGTGTATTCAAAAATTTATTGATTTTAAAGAAAATACAAAAAGTGATGGATTTCGTTTGATTATAGACTAATTTTAGACCATGAAAAATCTTTGCTCCCCCCCCAGAGATTTTGATAGATATATTATTTTTATTCTCAAGATATAATTTCACCACTTCTACTACTACCATCTTATGATGGCTATCACCACCGCCGCCACCACCACCACCACAGTCATTGTTGTCGCCACCACCACCACCGACATCACCGTCACCACCACCACCACTACCGTTGCCGCCACTGCCATTGCCGCTACCACCTCCACCACCACCCACTGCCGCCCTCACCACCACCCCACGGTCACTACCACCACCCCCACCACCATCACCATCACTACCACCGCAACCGCCTACACCACCACCACCCTTACCCCCACTTCCATCACCACTACCACCCCCACTATTAATCACACCATCATCCCCACCGTCACCACCACCATAGTCACTTCCACCACCTCACAGCCACTACCACCACCACTACCACCCCCACCTCCTCCACCACTACCTCCCCCACCATCACCCACAAACAACCATCACCACCACCATCACCATCACAACCACCGCCATCACCACCACAACCACCACCGTCACCCTTAAACCCTTTGTTTTTTTAGTGCTATAAACTCCATTAAAATCAATAATAAAACTCTAACAAACTCAGTTAAAATCTATACACGAATTTAGTCAAAATCTATGTGGAATTTGTAGAATTCAGTCAAACTCAATTATTCAATTAAACTCCATCAACTATATAACTCTTTTAAAACAATTTAAAATCTAAATTAAATACACCCTTATATTAAATTGATTAAAATATGAATAAAAAAATTAAAAAACTAAAAAATTAAAATTAAACTCTCTCTCCCCCTCTATCCCGATTTCTATTCCCCCCAAACTTTATTTATTTTTATTTTTTTTGTTTTTTATTTGATTTTATTTTATTGTTATTTTAAAGATATGATGTTTTATTCATTTTTTTGGTTTTAATATAAAAATACTATTTTGCCCCTGCATTTAACAGAAAAAGTTAACAAAATTGACGGCATGACCATTTGTCTTAACGAAAGTGAAGTTAAAGGACCATGAGAACGATTTTGGAAATTGAGGGACTCAAATGCAAATCGGGTCTAAGTTCAGGGACTAATAAAACGATTAACCCTATTACTGAGTGAAACTTACATTAAAAACTCGACGGTACGAGTGAATTGCATTAATAAATAAAAAAATATACACTTAGTCATAAGAGACGTAATGAGCATTACTCTCAAATCCATCTCTATACATAAATAAAAGCTTAACCAAAAAAAAAAAAAAAAACCTTAAACTAAAACAACAAGTTGCAATGCAATACAAAACAACACTATTTCAAATTTCAATATGAATAATATGCAAAAAGACCTTTAATGACCACAAATATTATCACCAAATGACCAAAGCCCATGTTAGACAACTCATTTTCAAATCCTAAAAAATTATAATAAGAAGAAGAATAAAAACTCAATTCATATATCAATAATAAAAAAAAAAACATAGTAGCAAACTAAAGCCAGAGTGAGGGAGGTTGGGCTGATAAGGCTTGTTTTCTTTTGTTTGGGCTGGGCTGGGGTAATATTTTATATGTAGCTTCTTTTTTTAAGAAAAAATTGGGCCGGGTAGCTGCCTAACTTGCCCTTTATGCATGCCAACTACTGTTCTTAATATCTTGAGTTACAAGCTCTCCTTCCAGTGTTTTTTGTTATTTTCTTGCATGATAAAGAAACTTTACACCTACAAGTAGAAGTGATAAATTTTGACATGATTCAAAATTGACATGAAATCATAATTTTGAGTTGGAAAATGATATGAAGGCCACATTATCATATTGTTGTGCATCACATTTTTAATAAAGATATTACCTACTTATTGGGGGATCTTATCTCTAGCTAGCATCTTTTATGTTAAAGGAATTCGAATCAATCTGTCAAATTACACAAATCAACACTTGATAACATTATACTTTAGTCACAAACGTACTTTTATTACATATTTATAAGAGCAATGTGTGTATTTGATAAGTGTGACTCTATTGGAGCCCACCTTTTCCATAAGTCTACTCAAAAGCTTAACCGATCAACCCAGGTCCATATCAATCAGTCTTGAGGTTGGTCCCCCAATTTTGAGAATAGAAAACAGTCCTAGTATGAACCAATTAATATTGTTATAAAGTCTTGAGTGGAGCCCACGCATTTGGAAATAATGAAGAATATAATGATGATGTTGGGGGAAGATTTTGGAGATGCACTACACAACAACGGGAAGCCAACAGACTTTGCATATAAGTGGGCTTCCGTCCTTTCATTGTGATATACATAAAATGAATCAATGAAAATATCATAAGGGCATTCCTATCGCTATTGGAATTCCCTAAATTCTCTCCACAATTTCTTTAGTTTTATAACAAATATATTGTTTTAGGTGCACAAGAATACTTTAACATAAGCATAATGCATTGAATATAAAACTTTAAAAAGAAACTAATGCTTCGAGTTTATTATTCAAAAGACATTTGTATGCTTCATTTCATTCCAAGAAAAATTCTTGCATGTAATATTCATCATCATCAGAACCCATCCTCAAACGAGAAAAAAAAATAATTCAAAAACGAATTCACCAAACGAGAAAAAAAGCAACTTGGCTCGTTTTCTAAAATGAGCCTAATAAATTGGTTGAGATTAGCTTGTTTCTTTTATATATATGAATTCACCAAACTCAAACGAGAAAAAAAAAAAATCAAAAACGAATTGAACTTGAATTTTATCGATACAATTTATAACCGTACATAGTTATGGTAGGCTTACGAGAGCTTGTCGTGTAACATAGTTAGGGTGCGAAAGGCTTCTCTTTAGTTCAATAGATCAATTTTTATTGTATAAGCATGCCTATATGAAGACTATGAACATTGTATAAGTTTTGTACATGTTTCTTGCCAATGAGTTGGTTTTGTGCAAAGCAAAATTGCAAGGGGAAAGCGATCCCGTTACATGTGAATGCATGCAGTTGCCAAAAGCATATCGTACAGGCAGTTGCTTTCCTAAAAATCTTTCCATGATACATAAATGAGTTGCTTGCAGCTAATATCTCTTGTCTCTTTCTCTCATCTTCATCATGTACAACAAGGTATTCTTTTTCAAAAAGGTGATACTCGAAGTACGTGAAGAGACCTAAAACATCAAAACGCGCTTTAAAAAATTGTTACCACTTGCTTTACTATTAGCTTTACATTACATGGATCCAAGGCAAGGAACAAAAAAGTGTGGGGTTTGGAGACAAAATCTATCATACAAATACGGCCATTTGCTCCTCCTGTAATCTTCTCTCAAGAAAAAGAAGTAAATGGCACTTAGCAACAATGTCATCGGAGCCATCAACTTTGTTGCCATGCTCCTCTCCATCCCAATCATTGGTGCCGGAATTTGGCTTGCCACAGAGCCAGACAATTCTTGTGTCAAGATTTTACAATGGCCTGTCATAATTTTGGGCATCTTGTTCCTGGTTGTGGGCATTGCAGGCTTTGTGGGAGCGTTTTGGAGAATCCCATGGCTCCTTATCTCTTACCTCATTGCCATGCTGGTTCTTATAGTCTTGCTTGCTGCTTTGGTGGTCTTCATCTACATGGTCACCATTAAAGGCTCTGGCCACCTCGAACCGAGCCGGTCTTACCTGGAGTATCATCTGGATGACTTCTCAGGCTGGCTTCGCCGTAGAGTGCGAAGCCCTTGGAAGTGGGACCGCATAAGAAGTTGTCTCAGCTCAACAAATATGTGTGGTGAGTTGAATCAGAGTTATCGCATGGCTCAGGATTTCTTTAACGCGCGCATTACCCCCTTACAGGTAAACAAAACTATATTCATATATATTATAGTTCAATCGCTTCAAATTTTTAGATAATTTTTCTTCCAAGATCTGAATGAAACTCATTACTAAGTGTTTGGAACTATAAATTTAGGAGTACTTTAAAAAAAATTGATTTGGATAGTTTTGTAGGATTTAATTCCCTAGGTGAATACATATTTTTACTTTTTTATTTCTTCTTAAATTAATGAAGTATAATCTAAATGAGAGAGATATTAATTTCTGTATATTAGCTCTTGGACACCCTTTCTTTGTTAGCTTAATTTCTGTATATTTCATACTCATGAGTCATGAGAAATTATATCCATTTTTCCTGAAAAATAAAAGAAAAAACAGGGTTGTACAATCATTCTAATAGTTCCTTTTCCTTCATTGTTTTTTTTCTTTTCAAATAGTAATCCCAAATACGCAGTCGGGGAGAGAGAGAGAGAGAGAGAGAGTGAGAACTGTAAATTCATGAATTTTTACAGATGTTCTTTCCCTTAAAATATATTCTTAGATTAACCTCTCAATAATATAGAACAGCAAATTAGCAACTCAGCAAAACAACCCACTTTACTCTTTCATCAGAGATTCTTCAAAACCCTGTGTGTCCAATATTCTTCTTTTTACCCAAGGAACCTCACCTTTATGTTTTATTTCTTGTGGTGGTGCTTCTTTTTTTCTTTTTTCTTGCTTTACAGTCAGGATGTTGTAAGCCACCCACACAATGTGGCTACACGTTTGTGAATCCAACGTATTGGATAAGTCCCATAAACAATGCAGCAGACATGGATTGCCTGCAGTGGAGCAATGACCAGACCCAACTTTGCTTCAACTGCGATTCTTGCAAAGCTGGCTTGCTTGCAAATCTCAAGAAAGAATGGAGAAGAACCGACATAATATTGCTCATCACTCTTGTTGCTCTAATTTCTGTGTATTTGATTGGCTGTTGTGCTTTCAGAAATGCCAAGACCGAGGACCTTTTCAGAAAATACAAACAGGGCTATACCTGATAGCAAATAGTTAAAGGATGTGGTGGGGGGTCTTGTATTATTAGAATTAATCTTTGGTTTCTTTCTTCTTTCTTCTCTTTGTTTGACTTCATTTCGCGACATGAATTATTTAGGGTGGTGGTGTTTTCAGATGGGGTTATTTTCATGATTTACCTTACTTCGATTTTTGTGTCAAGTTGCCAAAGGTGAACGTGATTTGCGGAGGGAACCGAAAGCTGGTTTTTGCTTTTGAAATACATACCCTATATTCAGATGTTTTTTTTGTCATTTTTAATGCAATTATCAACTGTGCATTAAAGACTTTGTGGACCTTTAGGCTATAGCTGCTGCAAAAAGACATCCCAAGTATGAACTCGAAGAAAAATGAGGTGTTCTGACAAACTAGCTCGTGTCATGTTATCCTTAATTCTTTTTTTTTCTTTTTTTGTGTGTGATTATTTTGGAAGGAATGGGATCCAAATTAAATTATGTAACTAGTCGCACTGATGTATACAACATTCGAATATTTTTTTAAGTAAATTGAGGTTACACCCATAAAATTCATTTAAAATCATCTACAGCCCATCCTTTTGTTTTTCTATTTAAAATATCCAATTTTTTAAGAAAATATCTGATGACTAGGATCCAACTAAGCAGTTACCTAATATAACTTAAAATCTGATTTATTATATTTTTCGGATTCCAAAACTACCCCTATTTATAATTTAACGTGTTATGTGGGAGGTGTATTAAGCCTTGGTTCCTGAATTTATTTTTTTGATTTCCTCCCACCGAATTAGCCTGCAATTCAATCCTCTTTATGCATAAGTTTTGATTATGAATAACAATCAAATTACTATGCATGGAAAAAAGAAACAACTAGAGTAACTGCATTAGGAGTACGAACACTTAAACAAGAATAGTACCAGCACACAAACAAAGCACGTAATTTACCTACCCAATCAAACCCCCCTAAAATATGCACGTATTTTACCTACCCCATAATGTATCAAACTCATGTACATGCACGTAATTTACCTACCCTAGAAAATCAAACTCATGTACATGCACGTAATTTACCTACCCTAAGAATGATACCAAACAGCATAGGAAAACAACAGCACATAATCAAAATTAGTAGCAGCGAAATTAGAAAGAGAACTTCAACATGATGCCTATTAGTAGTTAAATCATTAGGTTCGCTTATATTGGCATACTCCTGCATGCCATTGCCCATCATTTATCTGTTGTGCATTATGTACCTACCTTTATTCATTTGTATCAAATTAATTTGAACCCATCTTTTTACATCTCCTAGATTATCTACACTGTTGGTATTTTTGTAAAAAACGTGATGTGCAAAAATTAAACACAAACCCAACTTCTTGCTGGAAAAAAAATACTAACTATGCAAGCGACAAAATAAATTTTAGCAAACGACCAATTGTATTTTGATGGATATATCATTTGCATCAAATCCCCACTACGTAAATTACTGCAAAGAAAATTCCTAATTATGCAGCCGTAATTTACCTACCCTAAAGATGATACCAAACAACACAAGAAGAGCCAACAACACATAATCAAAGCACATAATTTACCTACCTCAAATTGCACATGCCATTCAAATATGATCCCATAATGTACTCACTAGTACCCATTTGTAGAAACTACAAGGATCTTATCTACTTACATCTCCTCTACATATAGAATAATGACATCACACTTCACTTGTGCTCTCATAGCTCATATTGGAATTTCGTCAAACACGTGGTGTGCAACTTAAACAGACCCAACTTTTGGCTAGAAAAACAACCGACTATGCAATATAGAAAACAACACTTAGCAATGTGAAAACAGAAACATAACTGGAAAAAGAATTGAAATTGATTGCTACAATCTAGGTAATGAACGGTACTGATAAGAAGGCAAGAGTTGGGGTAGATGAAAATGCAAAATTTGGAATAGATGAAAAGCTGACAAAAATAGAGACAATAAAACATAAATTACCTGTTCTATAGTAAATTGAGCTCAGGTTTTCATAATAACAGAGACAATAAAATATAAGTAAAAAACTGTAAATTTGAATGTACCTACGAACCTATATTATCAAAGACTATCATAAATCATATATACCTATCAATGGTTTCTCGATGTCCTTCTATATATTGACAAAGAAAATCAACCTCAGAATCCAAACAATCGAAAACCCTTAAACCCAAACAAACCCAATAAATCAAATCTTCAATCCATGCCGAGTTGGCCACAGCCTTCGTTACAAAAGCAATCAAATTTATGGGCGGCTTTGAAATTGAAAGAGGAAGCGAAGATGCTGTTGGAAACCTACCAGGAATTAAGTCGTCGGAGCCGGAATCTTTTGTCAGAGTCAACGTCGTCTTCTCTTTGCAACTAGTCTGAAAAATTGAATGCACCTACGAACCCTAATTTTAAATGGTAGAGACATGGAGGGAATCAAACCTTACAGAATCTCTGGTTTTCAATAATGGGCATGAAGCAAGGTTGAAATGGAGGTAAACTGTTTTGAAGAGAATGTAACGGTCGGCTGAGTGATATTTTGCTGATGAAAACGGTCGGTCTGTGTGTTTTGAAGTCTTGTGGCAACTATGTAAAAACATAGAAAAATTATGACCTTTTATATCCTACGTGTCATTTAAGTTTGAAATTGGGATCTTACATAATGGTTGACAAATATTTATAAGCCAAAAACAATTCCTCAAATGGTATAGAGTACCACTTCTATATCATAATGAAGAAGTTGTAATATGTGGTATTTGTTAATGCCTAAATTTGGTTAAACATCGGAATAATTTCATTGAGATAAAGGTCAACAATCCTTCCAAATAAACTTGACATGACCAAGTAGGTCGTTCTCTAAAACGAGTTCTAAGGCTTAGGGATTGCAAGTTGCAAATAGAGATTGAGCATGCAATCAATAGTACCTTTTTACTTGTGATTTTGTTGTTTTTCAACTTTTTTTTATAGGTGGTGTTGCTAGTATTTTGCTTTAGTTGTTATAGATGCAAAGACATATCAAGTAAGTTGTTGTTTTGCTTTGGTTGTTGATGATGCAAAGAAATTTCTTTGCATCCGCAACATGAGTTGGTCCAAGTGGAAGGGATTTGGATCCTTTAAACAAGAGGTCCTGGGTTCGATCCCAGGCACTTGCGAATAGAGTAGACTCTGTTGGGAGAGGTCCCCGCTTTGCGCCTGACCGTACCTCGAGGGATTTAGTCTCCGCAGTCGCGCGGGGGATACCCTGGGAAACCTAAAAAAAAGAAATTTCTGTTATACTTTGGATGTTGCGGATGCAAAGAAATTCAAGTAGGTTCCTACTGTTTTGCATTGGTTGTTAAGGGGCCGTTCGGTAACGTTTTCAAGGCCCCGTTTTCATTTTCTACCAAAAACATGTTCGGTATGTTGTTTTTATTTTCACTGGAATTGTCTTTTGAAAGCAAATTCAAACTCATGTACAAAAATTGAAAACACCAAACTATCATTTTCATTTGCTACCCAATGTATTAGTTTGATTGCTATCTCTTTCTCTCTTTTTTTTCTTTTTTTTTTTTCATTTGTCTTTTTTTTTCTTTCCATTTTCAGTTTTTTCATTCCACTTCATTATTTTATTTTGCTACACCAGTGTATATTAATTTTTTGATAAAACCATCATATATTATTCAATTTCATATTTATTTTCAAATATTTATTTTAAACTAAAGATAATATTATTTTATTATCTAAGTTTTTCTAAAATTAGATTTTTTTTAAAATTTTAATTATACATTATTATTCTCAAAGTATACATTTTTCATTGTTTGAAATAATTTTAGCCTTTAAAATATCAGAATTTTATAAATAAAAAAAATTAGGACAGAAATTAGCAAAAAATATACTTGAAAAATAACTCACATATTATTATTCTCAAATTTTCCTACCAGACACATTTTCACTATTTTATTTTCTGAATATGTTTTCCAATTAATCTATCAAACGCATTTTCGAATCTTGAAAATGCAAATTTGTTCTCATTTTCATTCTCATAAAATATTCTCAGAAAACATTCTCCGATAACGTTACTAAACGGGCCCTAAGGATGCATAGAAATTCAAGTAGGGTGCTGCTTTTTTGTTTCAGCTATTGAGTATGCAAAAAAATTCAAGAAATCTGCTGTTGTTTTGCTTCGGTTGTTGAGGATGCATAGAAATTCAAGTGGGTTTATGTGGATAACAGAATGCTCAAGGAATGTGGAGAAGAACTTATCAATCATGTGGAAGTTTTAGCTTTAAAAAACAGAGTTAGAATTTCATAACATGTGTCCTTTCTTTACTCAAATTACATTGTCGTTTGAAGATAGAAATGATTGAATGCTACAAGATTCACTATAATGTATCAGACTTCTCACATATTTGGTTTTTTTTATTATTGAAGTTTGAATGATATCAATTATTTATCTTGAATGTTAAATTTTTAGTTAACTTTGACAAGTTAAATCTTCATCTTTTTACTTCAAAAATGAGAGTGAGTGTATCACATAAGTAAAAATATGAAAATTGTAGACTCACTCTCATATGTATTATAAACGTACATATATATATATTTTTTTCACGAATAATACATGTTCTTTCATATTTTGTAATAATACATGTATTGTTCGCGTATTTTATCCTTAATTTTCAAGTGCTATTGAAGAAAAGACTATTGTTGAGGCCCAAAAAGTTCAAAGGCCAAAACGTGCTCAAATACGGCATGAACATGCACAACCTAGCAAATACTGCACCGAGTAGCAAGGATTAAGAAAAATTCATTCGTGATGATTTTTGTGCGATGTCGAGCGAAACCATAATTTGGCTCTTGGGAAGATCACACCAAGCTCATACAATCTACTCATTCATTAGGCGATGAACAAAGTCGTGTCAAGCCCATGCCCTTTGAGCCAACTCTTTTGCCACGCATAAAAATACCATGCAAGCTTCCAACAGCTGCAATTCAAGCTTTTGACTACTTTATATTGCCCAACACGTGCTACATGTATCTTTGCAATGCCAAGTAACTTCCTTTGTACCAAACCATCCAACAAGCTTAAGTGCACACAACCAAGGGCTTGCTAAGTGGGTTGTGGTGTCGATGGTAATAAGGTTCCACAATTCCCATGATAGACTTTAGGATGAAGGTCTAAGGCTATTTAGGGGCACCAAAACCCAAGCTCATCTGGTAAAGCTCAAGTACATAGGTAAGCATCAAACAAAGCTAATGTTCCATTACAAAACCAACCAAACCTTCCCAAACTCAAACCAAAAGCCAATGAAAAACAACTAAACTAGCTCAAAACCCAAAATGTCATTAATATGTTGATAGCTGGAATCTTACCCGCAACGAGCTTTTGG